TTACAAATCAGTGTACAAAGTTGGTATAACCTAACAAACTATTTGGTATAATACGCTAACGATTTTGACACCCAGCAATTTTTCAACCGAAAAAAAAAAATGAGTCGACTGTAAGTAAATGTCCCAAGAACAATAGCCATTGTGACGGCGCGATGTTTTTGATGGCTTGATATTTCATTAAACTAATACTTTAAGGTTAGGTAAGGTAACGCCTTCATTTAGAGAGGATAAACAAGTGACAGTTGTGATGAAACTGAATGATAAACTTGTAGCCCTCTATAAAAAAGATAAAATCAAATGTTAAAATAACGTTATGTCATTGTACACTAAGATAATTTTTTTAAAGGATTTAACATTCTTCACCTTCTTTACGTCAACGGACCAGTTCATTCCAATTTCTAATCGTTCTCATGCTAAAAGTCCGGCCTCCTTCTGTGTTTTTTCTTAAAAACAGGACAATGAAAATTTAAATTTGAAAAGGAATAAAATAAAAAGATCTAAATATTACACAAGTACTTAACGAGATAATTAAGAGATTAAAGTCAATTTTTACGAGTTGTTGCATTTTGCTGTTTAAATGGTATGGTAAGGAAGTAATCAAGTTCGAGCTCCGTCACTGGAAACTGGGTCGAGTTAACTTTCGTAAAGACTTCTGGGACTGTTACTAAGGACAGGGAAAAATAATTGGCTAATTACTAACCGGCGCGTCCCCGGCCGGACACTATCCCAGAAACAATAGCGGGACACATTTCGGCTTCAGTTATCTTCATGTTTCTCATGTGGGGAATCGGCGGGGGGGGGGGGAAATATTTCGAGTTAGCGAGTTAATTGAATAATTTCATTGAAATTTGAGCCTAAAGGAAGGCAAAAATTAGATGAGTTAGCAAGGAGTTTTAGCTACCATAGTTCGAATTGTAGCTGTTTCCGATAACACCCGACCTGCATCGTCAAAAACGTTTCAGGATTTTGGGTTTTTCTTCAAAGTCAATCAAGCTGTTACCATAGCATTCAGTTCTTGCTTGTCAAATAAACAAAAGGCGGCAACAACGAGCAGAAGCTGCAAAATCAAATGTAGGCGGAAACGTACCGATTCGTTTACACCCTTCCATTTCTGTGTTTCTTCTGGATTTAGGAATCTAAACTTGCCATTTTTAGAAGGTAAAAAAAGGGAAAGCTAAAACATGAAAACAAGCGAACTCTAAAGTTCAAAAGCAACGAACCTTGATACACAGAAACACATAACACGGATCGAAATTCACCAATCACAATTAAAAACTATGACCTTTTGAATCCGTTGTTTTCCAAGAGGTCTGCTTACGTGAATGATAGCAATGAAAAAAGCGATTATTTTGATTGACGTCGCAAAAAAACCCATAATCAAACAACGTTTTTGACATCGTTGGTCTCGTGTTATCCGAAACAGCTGTAATGATCGAGGTTCTAATTGTAACAGTACACAAAATAAAGTTTGGTAAGTTATTTCTACATTCAGAATTACAATGCCTCAAGTTTGAAATTATATATTGAGTTCGTTAAGAAAGATCGTAAGCTTAATAACATTGAGGGTGGTTCCAGTTGCTTTACTTAGTTGTTAATTATGTCTCATTTAGCAAAGTTACCCTCTATGATGCATATTAAGCCTCTCTACCTACAGTTCTAAAGTTCTACTTTGGGTTCATAAAGTAGTGCTTGTAGTGGAAGCATTTTTGCTTCAACAAAAAGAGGTAACGCCTGTCTTTTGTTTCAGCAAAATATATTAAACGCAGTTTGCGTTTTTGAATGACAAGAATTTGGTCAAGGAAAGTTTTACAGGTATTTCCCAAGAGATAAGTTTGCAAGTTAGATAAGCTGCAATTAGTGACTGATAAATATTTAGGAAGGTATAGTACAAGTCATCCTCGGATACCCGGAGGCAGCTAGTGGGGACGATAGAATGTTCGTGGTGAAAGTTTACTATAAGATCGAGAACTCCTCTCGATCTTATAATAAACTTTCACCACGAACATTCTATCTTCCCAACTAGCTGCCCCCGGGTCTCCGAGGATGAGTACAGTTGGGAATAATATGTCTCAACCTCGCAATTAGTCCAATTGTTGTTATTACTTATTTTTGTTCCAACAGGATTAATTTTTGATGGGCTCCTGGTCCAGGCCCGTAGGGAGGGTGGGTGCGACGGGTGCGCTCGCACCCCCACAAAGGCCAAAGAGGTCCACTTTTTTGCTGATCACCCCTTCCCGCCCTTTTACTCGCTCCATTTTTTTTTACGAGGTCTTTGACTCTAGTTCCTCGTTGTTTGCTCCCAAACCGAACTGAAACACTTCATATATGCAAGCTATCACAGACGCAGCTGATCGGCTCCTTGCAATTACAAAAGGGGTGGATCTCGGATCCTTTTTTCCTTCAAGGAGATCAAGGTATGCATTGTTCCTTTTTTGTGTGGCCCTTTGTCTTTGAGGATAGTTTAAAATATCAGCTGTTTTCTGTGGCCCAAAACTAGTATTCGCGGCACAAGAAAGGCTCTCTTCACTGGCTAGTAAACACATCCACTATCTAAAATACATTGATCTGAAAGAAGTCTTTGATTAATCTGTTTCTAAGAAACACCCAAGGAAGCTTGAACCTGGTATACTACTATTGAAAGATCATGATGCAAACATCATGCATCAAACCTAGAGAATAATACGGATTTACAACTTTCTTTTTGTTTTCTAAAAAAAATAAAGCACCCTATTTGAAAAACAATTACTTTTGAAGATTAAAAGTTTGAGAAATTCCCAGTTGTCAAAGTGCTCGAATGCAGTCTCAGGCAACTTAATTCTCCCTACCCCTGAGTCTTGGCGTCTGGCATCCTTTGGTCCGTCTCCTCGTTGGATCGCACCTCCCCGTAAAAATAATGAAGTTTTTACGTTCAAGAGTAACCGTTTTATCGCTTTCATTGCCAAAAATATCAATCTGGGGATCATAGCTGAGGGGTTTTTTTTGGTATGGACGAAAGATTACACAGTCGGTGCACAGTTTGAATATTTTCTTTTTTTTTTTTTTATTCAGAGTAAGCTTATCTGAAGTCAACCAGTGTTACAAACTATGTAATTCTGCACTTACTATTAAATGCCAGTGAACATAAAGAACGTTAGTGCCGTCAGCAGTTTGTGAACGATTTGATAAATAAGAAGAAAACCATTATTTGACAATTCCACGAAAGGGTATCCGTTGACCAGTATCACCTGCCCGTATCGCGGGCTCAGGTATCGACCCATCGAGGTTGAGTATTTTTTAAAAGTTATCCGCTGACAAGTCACTAGCTTTCAAATGACCGCAGGCTCAAGTTTAATTTTTTTTTCTAAAAAAAAATCATCCGAAATATGTTGTGTTTATGTGCCGCACAATTAAAATTTTGATTTTAAACGGACCTCGGACGCGAAAATTCAGCCAGCTCTTACGGGCAGGGAAGACAGTTGCTTTTGACTTTTCTCACCATGGTCACGCGTTGGTCACGCTCTACGTCCAATTTTTATGCTCTGATTGGTCAAAATTTGACAGGTGAGTTCATGCGGAAAGGTTATGCATCTTGAAACTTGTTTACTTTGACAGCTGAAGCTGACAGAGTTTGTGTCAACTTGTGATGTTTTTAACTGTCTTTTTCCACTGGATGTACAAAATGAAATTCAGCTGCTATCAAGAGTCTTCTGTTATCAATGGCTAGTTTGTGAATTGGGTTTTTGGTTGAGAAATACTTCGCTCGTCAAAGTCGGAAATCCGATTTCGGATGGCATCGTTTTCTTTTTTTTTCTTTCTAATTTATTAATTTTTATTTGTAGTTTTCATTTTACAGAGTACACTTAAAGTAAAAAGGAAAACAAACAAACAAACAAAAACAAAAAACAAAACAAAACAAAAACAAAAAACCAAGAACAAGAACAAAAAACAAAAAGACAAAAAAAGAAAAAACTATTACAGCAGACAATGATGATACTTTGCAAATAGCTTCTCTTTAGCGGTAGGTGTTTTTTGGCCAAACAAAGACCGATAGATGTGCTTTGAAGAAGCGTCAAGAATTGGAATTAAGATATCATTTATCAAAATAGCTGGTGTATTCGGCAGAGGAGAAAGCACTAGCTGGTGCAATATTAGTTGTTCGAATTAACAAACGCCATGCTGCTGGCATGGAATTATAATTACACTCATAATGAAAAAACTTTGTTCAGGGTTAAGTTGTACATTATCAACAGAAAATAAGTCCCATATTTTACAGAAGCCTTGATCCGCAATATCTCTTCGGTAAACAGATTTCTTATCAACACAGAGAAACTTGTTGTTCCTTATGACTTGATTTACAATTTGGCGTACTGAACTAGGTTCTCTTGCCTTTAATTCTGACCATGCAGCCAGCCATTGCCTATAGAAAGCTGGCAGAGAAGTATTTAGTTTAGAAACCTCAAAATTACAATGCAGTAAAAACTTCCCACCAAAAGGTTTCAGAAGCTCTCCTAAAAACATTTTCCATGGA